ATCGTTAATGGTGTTACTTTTACATAATCTTTGTGAAAAGATATTGTACTTATTGCTTGACTTGAGATATCCGCTGGAAAAATTAAAAAGGCTGGATGAGATCATTCAGGGTCTCAAACGTAATCCGATTGTTCTGCAATGACAGCGTCGTTATTGGTACTTTGGGGTCTGAATGTTTTTCTTGCTTGTTCAGTTAAGTCGATATTGTGTGTAAAATAATCAATTGTAAACAATGATAGTATTTTTTATAAATCATGGTTAGTGTTTTGTGAGACATCATTATTTGTAAAATTTTCACGGATTATGTTTTAAAATGTTGAAAATGCGACGATTTTGTTTCTCACTTTTGTATGTTTTGATGTTTGCACTGTTGATATACTTTGAGCTTCTGTTTTTTCTAATATAGATATATAACTATATATTATTACAAAAACTTCGTTGGTGAATAGTGGGTTTGCTCTCGGTGAGTTTTGATATTGTATGCTTTTGATACATTCTGTGAATACTTTTGAAAATTCTAAATCAATATCGTCTGTTTGGATAACATATTTACCATAAAGTGTTCTTGGTGTGCTGATTTCTATGGTGTAGATTCCGTATTGTTGTGTTAGGCTACATATGTTCTTGAAATAATGTTCTATAATTTGTCTTTTGATTTTTATATCTGGGAATTTTTGTTGGATGGACTGATTCCTGGTTCAAACAAATTTACGAGTAAGTTCTTGTAAAAATCGTGTTGTCCTCTATCATCGAGTGAATCTGTAAGAAAGGGAAAAATTGCTTCTTCATCTGGACTTTCGTCACTCTGAGTGTTGCTCATTTTTTCGTTTGATGACTGTTAATATATAATTATCAATATGTATAATTGGTTGATTCCAATTGTATAGATGTACTGGTTTGTGTTTAGATTGTTTTTTTATTCTTCTTTTTCCTCTTTTTGATGAGTTTGAAGTTGTTTCTGAATCGGAAAAATATAACTTATCATGGATTGGGCAATTTCTATTTACTGATTCTTTTAATTTGTATAGTGCGTCTAGACTACTGGCTTCTGATTCGGAGAATGCATTTCTATTTTTTGAAAATATTTTTCGTGTTATTTGTTTTTGTTAACTTATAATTTTTCTTTTTATTGTTTGTCTTTTTGTTCGAATGTATCAAACTGTTTGTGTATGCGGGGTTATTACAAGATCGTATTTTTAGTTGTATATTTCACAATTGTGTAATACGATTGTTTGTTTATTTCCTATATTTTTTAATGATATAAAGTTTAGGATGAGGGATGCAAGAAGTTATTGGTGATTTTAATTTTCCTAGACTGTTAGTCCTTACGATTTTTTGGTTAGCTTAACCTGGGTCTTTTTGTTCAAGGTCGGAGAGAAAAGTTAATTGATTCCGAAGAAGGATTTTTATTTTCTCGTGGCTGATCTAAGTTAAGGTGTTAACTTACTTAATCTTACTTAGGGGTAGTGATTGTGTTCAAGGGTTGGAGATTAGTAAATTGATCCACAAGGTTCAGGTATAATTAGAACGCAAGTAGTTCGTTAGATACTATTTTAAACTTACTAAGTTTAATATTTGTCCTGGGTCAGGTAAGAGGAGGGTTCAAATGAAGGATGAATAACCGAAGTTCTTCACTGTTCAGCCTAATTTGAATGGTTAGTGTGATTAAAAATTTCTATTAGTCCTGGGTCTTTTGAAAATGTTGTGTAGTGAATCGACGTTTGAGGTCGTTAGACACTTGATAAGTGGGTGAGGGAGAACAAAATTGTTCTTTTTGATCCAAGGATAAGCCTTGATGATCAGAATTTAAAATTTATAAGATAGAAAATTGATTTGAATCCGAGGAAAGCCTTGATGATCTGAATTAAGATTAAATAAAATTAAGTTTTAAGTAGTTTAAATTTATTTGGTAAAAGGTTTTAGTTTTTGATGATATTAGTTGATTTATGATTGCTGTTATATTTAGGTGATGAAGCTGGAACAACAGGATGATTTATATATACTAACAATTTATTGTCATGCTACTAATTTTTATTTTTGTTTTCAATAAATATTTTTCAAATATGGTTTATATAGTACTGCAGAATTTGAGGGAACGATTTGAGATCTTTTTATCAATCTTTATTGTATATTAATAATTTTATCTAGCGCCTGAAATAATCATTGAAGATTTCCTTCAAAGATTTTATGTTTGCAAACGAAAATCTAAATTCATTGCTAGTAAGATTCTAAATACAAAAGTTTGTGTTGGCTTCTGCCGTACGACCATGAAACTAAATGGTAAGTTTCTATTTAGTCGTATGTCGCCTCTTGTCCGGGGTCTTTTTCCAATACCGGGTAGTTCTCGTATTGTGCGGAATAGCGGCTCTGATCTATTGAGTCGTAAAGACATTTCAATTAAGTTATTGTCGTGTAACATTTTGAAAATGTTTTGTCTATTTTCTAATCTATTTTTGGTTAATTCTAAGCTATTGAGGTCTTTCTTCGAGACTTATGGTCGCACCAGATGAGTTAAGTTATATTGGTTAACTCATAGAGTAATTTAGGATAGGGTACACCGTCTGCTCGTCACGCTATCTTATTTTCGGCCGGATAGATTCGTGCAACTTCTTAGTCTAATACCGATCCTAACCTTACTCTATATCTACTAGTCTCAGGGTGTTTAACTAGTCTCTGCTAGGCTCAATAGATCTAGATTATACTGGCTTATTGCGACTGCTGAAGTTCTCTTGGAGAGGTAACTAATTTCTAAGTTAAACTGAAAACACTCTGGTGCCGAAATGACAAGTAATTTCAGCACTTACAATTAAGTGGGTTGTTAGTTAGATGGAATATGATTGGTTAATGTTAAATATTTTACAGTGGTAAAATATCTAATTTATCCAATAATAAAATGTAGTTTAGATCAGGTTCCACACGTGAAAATTCTAGACGCAAAAACGGCTTTTAGTCACAAAAAAAGTTTCGCTCAACAAAACAGCTCAGTCTTGTTTATCGCGAAATAACACAAACGAACTATGCCCGGGCAGACTTGTAACCTTTGATAGGCCTTGTGAGAATGCCAGAAACATAGAAAATTTGAGAGGGGCAGAAATGTGTAATGGTCAGAATGATTCTTATATGATTGTTCAAAAAGGAAGCTTAAGTTTCATTTTTGCAATTTTGTAAAAATAATTGGATCTCTTTAACAATCTCTCCCCCTTTCTAGAAAAAAGGATTGTTAAGTAGATCAAAATTATCGAATTTTTTCATCACTCAGAATGCAGCAACATTCAATTTCTCAATACAAGCTCTAGTGCTAATTTACTGTATTTATCTATAAGTGTGGAGATTCTTTAATAGATTCCATAGGGGGGAGCTAAGTAGACTGTTGATTAGATCCTAAAAATTTAATCTGTGTCGCCGAGAATTGGTATTCAATTTTTAACTAAGTTTATTTTTTTCAATGGGCATCAATGAATTTAATAAAATGCACTCTAAGCTCAAAACCAATAAAAATTGGAGGGAGGGACCTTTTTTTAAACAAAATGTTTAAAAATTTTCAGCTTAAAATAAACGAGATCAAATACTACAGGGGTGTAGCGGTTAGTGTGTGTGCCTATTAGCTTCCGATAACTGTTTTGATTCAAATGAAAAGCAAAGTAGCCTAAATTTTCAAGTAGTTTCGAGAACCATTTGATTTATTAAGGAAATAAAACTTAACTTTAAAAATTCAGTTAAAAGCACTCTGATGAAAACTGCAAATTTGAGCAAGCAAAACGCAAAAAGCGAATATAAAAAACTGCATTCTTAAACATAGGCACAGGGGCTCCGAAAAATAATTGCAGTTTTATTGCAACTGAAAATCAAATACCGTAGAGTTTTTCTGGCTGCAATTAATTGTTGCATTTATCTTCAAACGAAAATCAATTACTGCAATAATTTTTAATTCCCAAAAATTATGAAATCATTGCAAAAGTGCATAAATTAAATCATTTTTGAAACTAGCTCCGCTTTTTTTTGCAAAATATTTCGGAAGTAGTTGGTTCCATTGGTGTTATTTATTTTTAGAAAACTTTGATGGCATCTCGTTAGATCGGTAAGATTCTGGCTTATATTTGGATTATTATTGTATATGGTCTGGTGATTGCAATTATTTTGGTTGCCGCAATAACTTATTGCTATTATAATATGTTCAATATCAATTATTTTAATTTTTGAGAAACAAAAATCAATAATTATTGCAATTATTTCAATTGAAAATTGTTTTTACGGAGCCCCTGCATAGACATGCCAATCGGCCCACGTGCTAAATGGTGATACAAAAACCAGCTAAAATATAAGGCTGCTACCATATAATCTAGCCAAAAATACGTAACTGTTAGATAGACATGGATCTCTTTAACAATTTCCCTCTTTTGGAAAAGTGGGAGATTCATTATAAGGTTCAAAATTCTGATTGGCCTAACCAATTAATTAGTTCTTTATAGGGTTGGCATTTCGTTACTAGGTACCCTAGGGGGATAGATAAAGAGATCCGATAATAAATGATGTTTTACATAAAAGTTACGAAAGTCATGCAAATTTCTTTCAAATCACGTAAATTAGAGAGCCAGCACAACAGTGCCCAATTACAACAGTGCCGAAAAAATAGTTCAACAGTGCCGAAAATGAAAACTTTGTTCAATAGTGCCAACATTTTAAGCGCGGCAATAAAAAATTAAACAGCAATCGATTACATTCCTAAGTGACACGTTAATATTTTGAGCGAGGAAGTTTGCAACTTGAACGTTTTGGCGCCAAAATGATTGTTTAATTTGCAGTTTCAGACATTTTTGTGGCAAAGTTGGAGTGATTTTTTTTGTTAATTTGCTTCAGTATTTTCCCGCTCTTAAATTAAACTGAAATTCTTCATCTTTTTTCGGCACTATTGTACTTCGGCACTTTTGAACGCCCACAAATAAGACGGCTGAATTTTTTTCTCCCACAAGAATGATGTCAGCTGTTTCCTTGTTTTTCAGCAATGGCGGCGTGTGACTTCGCTTATGTTGTGCTAATAATCGGGAGTGCACTAATGCAGAATAGTGCGAGAGCGAGTGGGCGTAGAGAGTGCAACAATGACTATACTTGCGAGTGGAACTCAAACGTCCACGGGACGGACGAGAACCAGTGCTGCAGTGACGGATATTGCCACGACTCTTGTACTTCGTAAGACCATATACCTAGATCAGTGTATGTGTGTATATGCATTTGTGTTAGTCTGCAATCCGGATATGAAATATTGGTTTTTGTTAACTATCCCCCCTATTCCCTCCAGAACTGTTCACTTCTTTCTTTATAGGGGGAGATTCGTTGCAAGGTACCATAGGGGGGATGGAGGCGGATCAATAAGCAGAATGGTCTAAGAGAACAATGGGTCCAAGAGCAGAAAAACAGAAATATATTGACTTATATTGGTTTAAACGGGCTAATTGATAAAACAATTATTAGAATTGTCAAAAAATACCAAGAAAATGAATAAACTATGCATGAATTGGATAATTTCATTAAGTTTTTTGATTGAAACTTTTTTAAAATCTTGATTAAGATACTCAAATTTTGCATATAAAATGTTCATTGTTCTGGTATTATTGACATTTCTGATAATTAATTTATCAATTAGCTTAAAAAAGTGATATTTTTCAGTTTTTCTGCTCTTGGAACCTTTCTGCTCTTAGACCATTCTGCTTATTGACTGGCCACCAAAGGGGATAGTTAACAAGATCCAGAAAAAAGTGCTCGAGAGAGTAGTTGATTTTTTATATAATCTAGTGAGAGATACTTGGTTCGGATCTGCTTAACAACCCGCAGTGAGGTTCCATGGATATTAATCGATCATAATCGTTTTTCGTGGTCAAAAAGTCGCCATCATAATCGATTAAAATTACACTTTGGGACCACGTAATCGAGAACAATCCATTATAATCCATTATTTTGAGAAAAATTAAATCGATTATGACCCATTGAAAATCCATTATAATATATTAGAATGGATTGTCTATAATTTTTTCCAAATTACTGCAAAATTTGCATCATTTTCTGTGTTACTCACAGTCTACTTGATTTCTTAACCCCCCCCCCCCCCACACACACACACAATCACACACACACCTAACCATCCACCCCTCCACCTACCCCCATCTACCCCCCACCTAACATCACCTAACGTCCACCTAACCCCCCCACCGACCCGCCCACCTAAAACCCTCCCTTTACCCCTCCCCCACCACTAACACCTAACTCCCAGGGGGTTAGATGCGAGGGTTGTAGGTGGGGGGTAGGTGGGGATTAGTTAGGGGTAGGTAGGGGTAGGTGGGGGAGGGTAGATGGGGGTAGATGGGGGAGGGTAGATGGGGGTAGATGGGGGAGGGCAGATGGCGGTAGGTGAGGAGTGTCTATAGTGAATAAAAAAAATTCCCATGCTATTAGGAGCTCTTTTCGGAAGTCTGGGTTGATTGTTTTGGTTTTGTCTACTTGTCGTCTAATATCGTTTGCTGCCGCATTCCGACGCTCGGCGTTCCACCTTGCATTTTCTTCTAGAAGGTTTATTAGTGCTCCTGCTCGCTCTCCATCTTTTGCAGACGATAATCGTTTCTCTGCTGTTTTGGCCATTTCTTACAATCTTCTTCTCTCGCGGGATTGGTCGATTCTTTTATTCATTTGCGTGGCTGTGAGTGCAGAGCACTCCAATTTTGGCTTATCTATGCGATCAGCATTAAGTATGAATTCAACCTTTGAGATCTTAAATTCAAGTTTTGGTAGTCAATTAAAGTGTGCCTCCAAGGGAAACCGTTGGATGGTTTTTTGCTTGTTCCATCTGAAATCTCGTCTGATTGTACTGAGGCATAACTCATGGACGTGTCATTCTCATCCAGTAACATAAACCAGAGTCTACTTTTAATCGTCTGTATAGTCCATTCTACTAACCCGCTGAGGAGTACCACCGCATCCTCGGTGGTCGCCCATTGGACAAAATTTTTGTTTAATTTTGTTTTCCGTGCAATTTTTTTTCATCGACTTTCCTTAAACCCCAAAAATTGGTTAGTTTTAATGAATTCCGGAATCCAATGTTTCTCGATATAAGAACAAGAAAATTTATCGATGACTTTCCCGCGGTTGAATTAGTAACTTTACAGAGGGTGGGCGTTTTTTGGAGTTTTTTTTGGAACGACATGTTTAGTATTCTTACCGCTAAGAATGCCATCACAACAAACTTGAGGTGGAATATTTAGGCCACCACAAAAAATTTGAGACAGCTAGCATATCTTCCATGCCAGAGTGTCCGCGATGAATTCTTCTTACAATCGCCTGTCTAAGCTGTCCTGGAATAGCTAGTCGGTTATCGATTAGTATGCACTCATCAATGACCGAAATTTGATGATACAGGGGATTTGTATTAGGTCCCATCAGTTCGAAGCCTTGCCGGTCGATCCTTTAAATGACGTCCTTGGATACGAGCTCGGCCACAAAACTTTTACCAAAAAATCTGGACAACTGAGCAGTCCTTCGGGGCTAGGCTGTTCTTTCTTGACAGATGGTTGTTTCTTTGCCAGGCTGAATCATGATCTTTTCCGGGCCATCTTCGTCCTGTATGTGTCCTGTACCTTCCAGCCTGCAGAACAAATGTCCAACTTTAAAGCCCCTAGCATCATTATTGGTGGTTTATTGTAACAACGAACTATTCTCTTAAGTTTTTTTTCCGCTGCAATGAATTTCGTTCAGTCTGATTGCTGTTACTCTATTAAACAATAATTTATTATCAACTCTTACTAATGCTGTCAGAGATTTTAATTGTTTGGTTATTCAATTCATACATATATCAATTTTTGTGACGCATGAGTCCCCTTTTCTTTATTTTGAAGGGTTTCTCTGTTTTCCAGTCTATGTTGGATGTACTGTTCATCACTTTTGATTTATGTTAAATCTGACTCAACCGACAAAATTTCAGATTGCATACGTTTTCTGAACTATACTTTTCCCTTAATATTTCGTTCTTTTATTGTGACCTGCACATTTTGGCGAAATGATTTTGCTCACCACGATTCTTGCATGTTTTTCCCATCGCTGTACAGTTTTTCAAGTGTCCTTCAGAAATTATCCTTCCGCATCGGTTATAGAATTTCTTGCTTACTCCAGTTCTCGAGTTGTTCTAGATTTTGGTTTGTTTTCTTGTATACTGCTCTCTGTTTGGACGTCTGTTATTCCGGTTACCCACTGCCATTATTGGTTCTTGTTTTATTTTGCTCATTGTTCCCGCAAAATGGCTGGTTTCCTGGAATGTTTGAGTTGTCTGTTTACTTTGTTGGAATTTCAGAGACTTTTTCAATAACTCTTTGTGTGATTGTGTTTCAAAAGTTACCGTTTCCTGCAATACTGCATTACGCACTTTCGAAATAAACAATTCTCAAACTGCTTCATCTTCTAGAGTATCCAGTTCCATTTGGTGTTGTCCAGAATACTGGGATTCCCTTGTCGGTTCGATTGTCCTGGGACAAGATTTCTGCTGGCTGCTTCATGTTAAAAGTTAAGGAACTTCTCTTAGTTGAAGTTGCAAAACTAATAAGGATTCCAAGAAGTTAATTCAGAAACCTTCTCTTTTCGTATTTTTCTCAAGCTCAGATCTACAGGCCTAGTCCATAGCTCTGTATGGTTAACAGCACAAATGATCTTCACAACATAATATACAACACAACAATATAACTAAGTTCAAAGTGTCTGCAACCGCAGTACCACGCTATCCTATCTTTACATTGAGAATCTGTCAAACCATATCTGACAAGTGATTAGCGGCTCTTACGCGCTTTTCTTCTTCTTCTTTTCTAAACGAATCCAGTTTAAATCTGACCCTGGTTTATTGCGAGGGTCGAGCATCTTGCGACCACCGGAAAAACTCCAAGTTCATTAAGCTTTTTCTGGCTTTTTTTTTCCACCGGGCTGCCTAATAATTACACTAAGGGTGCTGAAACTCATCGGGCCTGGGGATTCCTAAATATATGATTCATCGATAATCATTGCCCGACGAAAAATTAACCAAAAAACGTCTTATTCTTGTTATGAAACAAGTGTTATTATTAATGAAACAAGTTATAGCTTAAAGTATTAACAAACGCATATTTGCTGAACGGTTCATTGAATAAATCGAAATTAAATCAGCAGAATTCAAAGAAAACTCTTCTGCAGTGGTCTGGTGGTGAACTTGCTTCATTTTTTCGGAATTCAGCGCCGAAATCAGCCAGGTGTTCTCATCAACAAATACTCATTGTTTATGTGACACGCTTGCGGAACGTATCAGCCCGATTGTATTATCTGCAGGCATGTCGGCCAAATCTTATTTTAATGCCCTGATTCAACATATTGTTTTCAAGAATTTTGCGATTTCTTGTAGATTTTGGTCTACTTTTAACTGATCGGATCGGTCGACGTTTCTATCTTTCGGCCCCTCCATTATGAGCACTTGTCCCAATAACCTCCTGAGATATTAATTCTGGTTTCCCCCGTGTTTTTTCAAGGTAGATCAGGGCAGGAGTGTATTTGGACAAGTGCTCATAATGGAGGGGCCGAAAGATAGAAAACTAAAGTCGATCGATCAGAAAGAAGTATATCAAAATCTACAAGAACTCGCAAAATTCTCAAAAACAACATGTTGAATTTGGGCATTAAAACAAGATTTGACCAAATACAATGTCTGCAGATAATACAATGGGGCTGATATGGTGCTAAATTGGAACTGCCGTGTTTTAGGGATGCAATTGCTGCGATCATCTTCTTCGTCCTCCTCCCCTGTTTGGGATGCATCTGCTGTGGACTCTGCATCGGCATCATTGTCTACTTCGCCATGAAAAACAACCGTCAGTATCGCTCTCTTTTTTAGAAAATCTTTTTCCATGCCTGAGAATCGAAATCTGGTTTCGTGCGTAGTCTTTCAGCTATCTTTAATTTAGCTTCACTTATTAGAAAATAGTTCCAAAAAAACTTCAGCTTTCTTTTTGGGAAACAAAATTAAGATCTCATGAATCTTAATCTTGGATTTTAAGACTAATTGTTCCAACTTTTGAACAAAGTGACGGAATGTTTCTGCTTGGGGTGTTGTTTTTTCTCCAGACCGATTTCGTTTTTGAAGTGGCCATTTTTGAAAAAAAAAGTTTTTGTACCATCTGAAAAGCATTTACGTCCTGAGGTCTAATTCAAAAAAAGTTTTTTTTTTGTGATCGGTTTTGAAGAAGTTACATAAGGGTTTGAAAAATTGGGAGATACTTTGTGCTATTAACGCGTAAGCGGGTATTTAGTCCACTCATAAATCGTTCTTAATTGAATTGAGGTAACAATTTTTGCGTAAATTAACAAATATTTGTGGTCTTGTAAAACCATTGCATACAACATGAACACGATTTTTTCCGAGGTGGCGGTAAAATTCACGCTAAAAATAAACATAAAATATACTCACTGGTCTCTTTTTTTTCAAGAAAAACGGCGTAGTGGATCTGATACTGCTCAAAAAGATACATAAAATTGATTATTACTTTAACTTACAATACCAAATGAACTTATGCGTTGAGCCTCTGGCTTCGGAAGCAAAAAAATGAACGTTAGGAACTCTAGTTTTCTACAGAGTTTTAAAAATCTACTTCAGAGAAAGGTTCAAGGACAGTGCACAACTCCACGTCTGCAGCACACCCACCAGCCTATTATTCAAGTCAAGCGTCTCCACCCTACTCCACCCAGTACCCACCCAATTTCCAGTCACATCCTCCTCCTTCTACTTTCCCAAACAACATCCAAAACTACCCTGCTCCAGGTGCATCACAACAAATGCAAACATGCCACGCGCCCCCTTACCCCTACTCCCAGTGAAACTTGTGAGCAGGAGAAGAAAAAACAAAAAAAATACTTCTGCATCAGCTGCAAAACAGGAAAAATAGTTTCTGGAACTTTGAGCAGTATTTCGCATGGTCACACAATTTTTTGATTTAGATTTGTTTAGATTTAGAACAAACTTTTATCCCTAAATTTAACCTCAGAATTGAACAAAAATAGTTTTCCGCATAAAAATGTTTTAGTCTTTTGGCACCAAGATTAGTGGAACAGGCTACTCAAAAAGAGATTTCCAAGCAAACCATTTAAAATTCTCACAAAAATCATAGTGGAGCTAATTATTTTGCTAATCGCCCGCACTCAGTAAAAAAAAGAAATTAATAGATTATAATGGATTTTTATCGTCAGTCTCCAATAATTTCAAAACAATTGATTATAATCGATTAAAAATGGATTATAATGTTACTATTTTTCGAAACAATAAAAATTATTATAATCAAATAATTTCATGAAAGTTTTTTCTCAAATTTTTTTGAGTCATAATCCATTATAAAGGATTATAATCCATTATTACTCAACAAACGTCATCGCTTCATTTAGTTTTAGTTTTGTATTGTTTTGTTTTGTGTGCTTTTCAGTTGCTTACCGAACTAAAAGAAACTGTAATTTTCTACTTATAGCCACCAACGGATTTAGGTCTCCCAAAAGGTCTCCCCATTCCCCCTCCCACTATTTTGAGATCCCCCCACTATTTTGAGGTCCCCCACTATTTTAAGAGACCATTTTTGGCTTACTGACCCTAAATTTTTTTAACGGAGTCTAATATATATTAATTTTGAGCGGGTTTAGACACCTAAAACTGGCGCTTATAATTAATTATATTTTTTGCTAAAAGTACGATTATAATTGAAATATAATCGATTATTCTCTTTTTTTACTGAGTGGGGGCGATATGTTTACTCGGCGTTGGAAATCTAATATTGGCAAAAAATTAGATGTTAGATGTTTAAACGTTTTATATTCCATTATAATGATAACATTTTTGGTGTGATTTTAATAAATTATAATCAAATATAATTGATCATAGTTTTTCCGAAAATCTCTTATAATCTATTAAATAGATTATAGTCCCTTTTTATATCAAAAAATGATTTTACATGAAAAATCACTTCTAATGGATTATAATTTAAACAATCTGCATGAAAACACAGTAAAAATCAGTAAAAAAAATCAGCGAACAGTAAACAGTAAAAAAAGTAAGCCGTAATCAGTAAACAGTAAGAAGGTAAACAGTAAACAGTAAACAGTAAGAAAAGATAGCAACTTAAAAGCACACAAACTAAAACAAAAGTAAAACAAAACGAAACGACGATGTTTGTTGAATAATAATGGATTATATTTCAAGAAAAATTCAGAAAAACATATTCAAATAATAATCGATTAAAATCGATTATAATGGTTTTTTCTTGTTTCGAAAAATAGTATCATTATAAACCATTTTTAATTGATTGTAAAAGATTATCAAAGTAACAATTGATGTTGAACATTGAAACGACAAAAAATTCATCCACAATTGGTTTATTTAAATTTTTTCTTGTAAATTGCACCTAAATACTTCACAATTTTGAAAACTGGTCTTCCTATTATACAACCCTCCGTAGCAAATTATTGTATGAGCTTCTGTTCTCAAGAAAAATTAATATTGTTTTTTGCTAATATTGTATTTCAATCAACCAGACTCTAACCTTTTGATCCCATTTTGTGAACATCAAAAAAATCACATTTAAGCCGTATGACAGAAAAAATCCTCCAAACTATTCTAAATGTAAGAATCTATAAGAAGTTTAATATAAAAGGCGGTATTTAGGGGGATACAGTTCACTTGCCCTTTTTCCTCCAGGGTAACTGCATGGGCAAGTGGAGTTAGTGAGCATCCAATTTATTAAGGAATGTTTTGCCGGGTTTCGATACTTTCCCACTTTTCGTTGGGAAAGTGGAATTAATTAAGTAAAAATATGAAACTTCCTGTTTCGGTTATTTCAATGATCAGACAGTGTGAAGGATGCGCGGAGCACTCCCAGGCTTGGGTTCCTAGTGCGAGCCCAGTAGTGGACGTAAACATTTTACTGAGTTTTTTCATGGCTTTGTATAGAGAAAAACTAAAATATTCATAAATTCTAAATAAGACTGCTCGTATCAGGGCGAAGCCCTGAATGTTCCGACAGCCCTTTAAGGTTTATGGAGCAGTAATAACAATAAAAAAAAATTTAATAAAACAAAATGAAATTTTTTTTTTAATTTGAAATTTTTTATGAAAATCATCCCCCCACACGCCAAATAAAGTACAAAAATATAAATTTCGCTCCTTGTAACAAATAAATTATCGCAAATAAGCTTCTTTCAACAAATTTGGAACGATTTCTAAGACGGATTAAATCTTGTAATAGCGCGAAAATTCTTTTCAAATTTAAGCTCAGGACAACAATACCTTTCGAATGATGTTTAAAAATTCCGTCAAAAATGGCTAGTTAAAAAGTCGAAATTTGTCTGAAGAAAAAAAACCCACCCCGAGCACGAATATTCCGTTACTTTCGTATCGAAAGTCGGAACAATTAGGAAAAGTTGAGTGCGATCCTTTTCTATGTCAAGCTCAATGCTGCCAGCTCTAAATTTTACTAGTTTATGAAAAGAAAAATTAAATTTTTCTTCATTTGTCCCGTTTCTCAATTTTATTCCTGGTTTCGAAACATTTCAACTTTGTTGTCTTTTTTTTGTAACAAAAGGGGCAGTATAAAGCAAGCCATCATATGGCAACGATAAAGTTTCTGATTAGATATTCACAATCAAAAGATCGAACCTCAAATGTTTTTCAAATGTTTTGCTTTGACTGATTCGAAAAACAATTGTCATCTTAAATTGTACAGCACGTTTCATGTTTGCAGTGTAATCAGTTGCATACGACAAATGGCTTCGAATCCGCGATGTATCTGAAAATCTATGATTCAATTATGAATTATTTTTCATTAAAAACAGGAAATTCTACTGCCTGGAAACATGATTTTCTTTTAAATTCATAATCTCATTTTTTATTCTTCAAGTTTTTTTATTCGTATTAATTCACAACTTTAGTCTTGTCATATTAGCAAACTTTTAAAAGTTGCGAAACTAAAGTCAAGCGGACTTCACCGATATTTGTACTTAACATGCTTAACCATGTTGGCAAAAAAATGAAGTGGGAGAAAAGGATTTGCGAAAAATTGTTTTTTTTTCCTCAATTGTCTAATTGGTCATTATTATGACTATGTTTCACGTTAGTTCAAGTTTTATGTTTTCTGTTTGTACTGAACAATCAATACAAAGCAACCACCCATCGTGTAGAGCAAAAATTGACCAAAAACCGGAACTGCCAGATCGAGACTCTGATAAGACAATCTAATCATTTTGATTTGAGAAGCTCCAATTGACTTTAAAAGAAAGCAATTTTGTAGAGTACAAAATGCTAAGGAGCAGAGGAATATCGAAAAAAAAACGGATTTTTTGAAAGTTTAGTTTTTTCTAATGGTATACAAGAGAATAGCCTGCCTCATTTATTGATTTCATTTCTTTAAAGTGATGATTTCTAAAAAAAAAAGGAAACAGTTTTTCTTTTTAATGTTACGGGTGCTACTCAATTGTATCATATTTTGTCTCCCAGTCTTAGGAAAACAGGTTCAAAGCCCGTTGTTAAGAATAAATTTTTCCTTTTTAATGTTTTCATGCCTTTTAAAAAAGCTATCAAACAGTTTTAAGTTGGAGAATGCGGCCTTCAGTGGGATCTCTTCTTTTTGATAGAATCATTTGATCAAAAAACAACTTAGCAGTTTTGGAAAAAAATAAACAAATGTCAGTTTGATCAGTTTTTTTCGCAGCTTATTAGTATACCAGCTGATTATATCGCTATCAAAAAAACTTCAGTCTCGGAGACGACTATTCAAATTGTTTTCAATTTGTTTTTGCTTTGATCGACTTGAATTTGGAATCTCACTCTCACAAAAAATGCGTGAAAAAGAGTTAAAAAATATATTCTTCACCGAGCTGGGACACGTTTAAATATTCTTTCAAAAGATTCTTTTTCATTTATATATACAAGAGTCATTTGTGACCAGTGAAAACGATTCTTCTTTTAACTTTCTGTTATTTTTCTCTTTTTTACTTATTATACTTGTTCCAAGGCGGCACAGGGCTTGAGCGGAAACTGCAACAGAAAATTAAAATTAAAATACAAATTCCTTTCTAGCCGTAAACTAAAAAAATTAGTTTTCCTTTAACCACGAGCATCAATTGCGCAGCTGATAAAAGCGATTAAATCCATGACGATAGGTCTCGTGTTCGAACCCCGCATGAGCGAGACTGAATTTGTTTAAAGCTTCATCATTGAAGACACAGTTTCAAGTACTTGCTTGTGTTGAATAAAAGCTTGCTTATATTTGGAAGCAAGGTCCAGTCGCGCAGTTTCTTAGACCAAAAGAGTCATGAACGATTTATGTGGTCTTCGAATATCGCAGTGGTTGCGATTGATACAGTTTTTAAAATGTTTTCTATAGCTTCATGTTTGAAACAGAGACAATCGTGGTCAAATAATGATTTTGCTCAAGTCAACAAAAATTGACTTCTATGTAAACATGAGGCGAAGTGAAACAGATATAAGACCGATAAGCTGATGGAGACGAACCGCGCAGTGATCGGAAAGAGTTTTCAAAACATTGAAGAAAGAGACAACTTTGGTAAATCAAAGCGCGCAAACAGCAGAAAACAAAGAATCTTGACTGCGCCCCGCCTCCTGATTTTTGGCTTTTGCGCTTTTTTGTAAAATGATTGATGAGAATTTTCAATCAATCAGAATGCAGTATTTCCGAGAGAAAACAAGTTGAGTAAATATTTGAAGCTTTTATTGCCCATAATTTTACGAAAAATGATCACTGGTAAAATATATTTTCAGTTCTGAGCTCAAGACAACAAATTTTTATGATTGATCTATAAAATTTCAATCAAAAATTGTTAGGTAAAAAGTAGAAAAAACTGTCTGCAGAAAAAAACCAACCCGAGCACAAAAATTGCGTAACTTTTATCAACAATTGGAAGAACAACTTGGATTTTTAGCAGTTTGTTAAAATTTCGGTTAAAAAATGCTTCATTGTCACCAGAATTTTTTGCATTTTTA